ATGCACCCCCCTTGGGACCATAGTGAAAATTTGAAAAAATGTGCATTTAAGGAGGGTGTGCATTTAAAGAGAGAAATCTTGTATAATCTTTATATACTTGGGGCTGTGTGGAATGTGCATTTATAGAAAAAATATATATGCGTGCATTTAGGGAGGAGGGTGCATTTAGAGAGGTCTCACTGTACATATAATAACTCTTTTTGTATAATCATATGTGAAATTTTCATTTTTGTTGTTTGTACGACTTAATTGATGGAACAAACAAAAATTCATCATGCCATGATTTAATTGATATTCTTTAATCCAGAGTGGTAAATTCAATCGCAAACATTTACGATGCCAAATGGTGATTTTGAATTTTTTATCCGAAATTCCAAAAGAAAGAAAACTAACAAATTTCAAATAAAGTAATCGGGTGATTAGAATGGTATTTTGGCCGGCATTTTACGGCATTGAGAAATTAACTTTGTGACAAACAATAAATACCGAAAAATTCGTAATACTTATTTTGTTTATTCATTTCTTATAAATTCTATTACTTTGCCCTAACAGGTTATTTATTTATTTATTTATTTTAAGAAATATTGATTTTCTATACAAATTACTTTTACAATAAAATAAAAATGTTCACTGTTACGAGACTTTATAAATTACTCCTTGAAAAAAAATAATTAAATAATTTATACAAATTTTTCCAAAATTTTTTATAATAAAATCAATAATAATTCTATGGAATTTGTAGCCAAAGCTAATGAGTAGGATTAACCAATAATCTAAAATCTTCAGTGAAAGTTTTTAAATTTAATGAATTAATGCTAAATGAATAATCCCATCCCTTGGGACGGCACCTTTTTCTATGGAATCAGCGTTATGATGTTCTTTATTTAATTCAATAAAAAATATTCCATGTCACATATGGTGAATTTAACATGATAATATAATCTTATTTTATTTCTTTGTTTGTTTATTAACTATAAAAACAGAGAGCAAAAAATATATATTGTTTAAAAAAATTTCCGAGAGTTTGCAAATTACGATAAGATAAAACAGGGAAAATAAAAGAAAATACATTTTTTTTTTATTATAAAAAAGGCTCTCTCATTCTTTTGATGAAAAATAAGAATTAAAAAAAATACAAATCGTAGGGGGTTGAAATATTTTATTAAATATTATAAAATAATCAGCGTGAAAAAGGAATAGAAGATCTGTCGTTATGAATGGTGAGTAGTTATTTTTCGAAGCGTTGCGTATCCGAAGTTATACTGCCACTAGGTATAAAAATAGTCAGTGAATTAAAAGCTACAGATGAGTGGGGAACAATTCTTGAGCTTCAACATCTATTTAATTATTTTAATTTTATTATATTATTAATTAAATACTTATATTATAAAAACTTAAACATAATAGAGAAAGGACTCGAAATAATTAAATTTTCAATTCACAATTTCGAAATGAAAACAATGGTAGGGGTATGCTAATGAAAGTTAGATCGCAAATAAAATGATAGCAAATTTCATTTTTTTCAAGTAAAATGAAAGTTTTTGACTTTGCTGACATTTATTTAATAATATTATTGATTTTTGGTCGTATGGTACAGAAGAGGAGATAGGAAAAAATCAAAATTTCAACATACCTTTCTTGAAGAAATATCTTTCACTACCACATCGAAAAAAAATAAGTATAATAATAAAAATAAAAAAATTGGAATATTGTGATTGATTTTTAAAAGAGAAAAGTATTTGAATTCCTGCTTTTTTTTAAAATTTTTTTTTTTTCGTTTTTCAATTTCTTTCAATTTTTAAAGGTTGCTATGCATTTATTTTTACTATTCTCACTTTCTTTTTTTTTTTTTATTTAACATTATTTTTTTATAATTCATAATTTTTATTTTTTAATATTTTGGAGGTTTGATCGTAAGTTCATTACTTCGTTCGGCCTTAACTTTAAGTCAACACACGCCTAATATTGAATATATATGTGAATGTATTTTCATCATATGATTGGGAATGACGAATGACATGTTACAGTCATGAGTCAAACAATGTTTTAAACGATCATTTTTTATGAAATTTAAAAAAATTTGATCGATAAAAAATATTTTAGATGCTTATTACGTAATGACAAAAAGAAAAATTTTTTGTCATACATAATACTAACAATTTGATAATAATATTTCCTGATCAAATACAGAATACCCGTTTGAAATAAATCATTTAGAAACACATTTTTATTTACACAAATAGGTAATTGATTAATCGGTCGGAACACTTTTTGTGACATTGATATTTATCCTTAAATTACAAATAAGGGCGTTCTTCAAGCTGAATTTTTACTAGTCGATTTTGCAGACCAAATGAGTTACCATTTCGATCAATCTTTTTCATAGAGTTACGCTGATTGGTTAAAATCCTTTTTTTTCTTTTTGTTAGTTTTGTTTGATGATATCATAAATTAAAAATAAAAAAAAAATTTGATGTTTCCATGTCCTTAAATTTATTTTCCAAAGCCAAATGAACAGGGATATTCCAAATGATTGTCACCAATTAAGATATAACAAATGGTGTTTAATAAGACTATTTGGGCATTTAATTAGTTGTCATTTTTCCGATACGGTGGTCATTTGAGATATTCGAAATGTTTATTTGGGATATTATCTGTAATGTTCATTTGGGGAGATCCCGAAATGATCATTTCGGACATTAACGCAATTGGGTACATCAATAACACAACTTTTTAAAGAATTCGAATTAATTTTATTATAAAAAGCACAGTTTAAGAATTCAAGCTTAATGATAATTAACTTTGACCAAAATAATAATAAAAAACGACAATAAAAAAAAAAAATACTTTCTACAAGAAATTTACAAAGTATCTTTCTTACAAAGTAATCATGAACCGAAATTTTATTTTTTTATTGGTTTTATTTGCTAATTTTTTTATGACCGATGCTATTCCACATCAACTTCTTAAAAGAACATCTACATTTCTTCAATGTCCTTCGTTTGATGGGATATCGCCCCCACCACCTTTAATCCAAGTAACACTTTCATCTGATCCTCCCGTCCCCGGAAAAAAAGATAAATTTACTATTTCCGGAAAAATTTCGGAAGACTTAACCGCAAGTGCCTCAATTCTGATCGCATTTATGGATACGGCTAAAAACTTACTAGGAAAACCCTTTGTTGTACCTGTTTGTACTGGAAAGCACTGTCTAATTAAAGCTAATGAACCATTTAAAAAGTCAGTGGAAGTTCCTATATTAGCCAAATTACCTAATCCATACATTCTTTTAGTTGCTGTTGGATATGTACCTTTGATTTTCAAGGCTGTGCATTTGCAATTTCTTTCGGTTTTTAAATTTTTACTATATACAATATATATTTAATTTATAATTTATTTATTTATAATTTTGTATTTTATATTTGAGAAATATTGATTAAAAGTAATGTTTTTTTATCATAATTATAATTCTTTAATTACTCATTTTAATAATGCATCTTTGTGTGTTGTACACTTCTTAATCATCTTGAAATTTTGGAATTTCATACTATTTATTATTATTATTAATCTATTAATAAAACTTGAACTATAAAAAAATTTAAAAAAATTAATCTCAATAATTTATATATAGCGTTTAGCGTTTATATTTTTATATTTTTTATTTTATTAATTATTTTATTTTACAAATAATATCAAAAATCTAATTATAAAATAATGATTATTTATTACAATTTTTTACTATTACTTCAATTTATCCCGACACTTTGGCCATCTAACCCATTCCACCTTAACTTTTAATCTTTTAATATACTGCCTTGACTAGGTGTCGAAATGGATGGATTTGTCCTAAATTTTGAACCTATTAAAAAAATAAAAGTTGGAGAGCATCAGTAAGTGAAGGGGAATGATTCAAATGAGCGCCACCTCACGCATTCATATAAGTTCTCATTCGTATGAATATAACTAGGTATGACTTCGACTACCCTTGAACATAAAGCTTCCGTAGAAACGAGAGGATCATAACTAA